ACTTTACCAAAGAATATTGAACTAATTCCAAGTGCAGCAGGAGTGATCAGGCTCTAACAGCTGACAGAGAGGTGAAGCTGTGTTTACAGCAGCTAACTGTCCTCTCCGGGTCATCAGGTACGACTGCACGTCTGACTGTTGACTGTAAACAACATTGGACTAGTCTAACAAGTTAGTTATCTCCCTCTAACTGTCTAACAGTGGATCTCATTTCTTAAAGCACGAGGTTAATGTTTATTACAAGAAGAAACATATTTTATTGATAGAAGTCTCTGTTTGTTTTGGCTCAAATGGTTTTTATCACCTGGACTGACTGCAGCAGTAATAAACCCACATCAGAACATGCAGGTTGTGAACGCAGCGTTTATGAAAAGACTCGATCATATTTCATCCGTCTAAAAGACGTTTCTGTGACGTTCAAGCATCACTGAGGCTGGAATGTGAGAAATGAGGCCTGGCAGGATACTGGGGGAGTTTTTGGTGTTAATGTGTGTGCTGTGTGGGGGGGTCAGATCTGATTGACTCCTTAGACAGAGACCGGCTTTCTTTAGGAAGAGTCTCCCCGAGCCTCTCGGTCACAGCGGATCAACGACCTAGAGGCAACCCCAGAGTTCAGAGCGTGTATGTTTACATTCAGCTGATGCTCTTACGTACAGTCTTGTTTTATGCAGCTTAGTTCATGTGAGAAAGCAGATTATCAGTTATCCAAAGCAGAAGAAACGCAGCAGTAACAGTGTTAAAGGTTTCATTGGGACTTCTCTTTTCGTTGGATGGTGATGACAAAGGTTCAGTTTTAAGATGTTTTTGCCTCCACATAGCCAAACACCACAAACTGACATCTTGATTAAAGTCCTACTGTAGCTGAACCACAATATGATTGTACATTTCCTTCATATTTGGCTTTATTTCCTAGTGGAAAAGTTTGGAGAATTGGAATCTTGTGTTCATTTAAACAGGGGAGGTTCCCTCTCGTGTCATTTGTGGATATGCAGGGCTTGATGGTTAGCAAGTTAGTAAGAAAAGCTACTAAAACTGCTTTAAGTGGCTCACTGAAAAAACAGCTGATTATCCGGCTACAATTAGAAGATGATATAGGTTGAATACATCAGCATTTCCTATTGGTTGCAAGATAAATCTGAGGAGCTTTAAAAGAAGAGATTAAACAACAACTGAATTTCTTTTTCCTGACTTTCCTTTGTTGCATTGGTTTTTGAGTCCTAAAATGATCTGAATTGAATCATGTGGAAAGGGAAAATTGGTTTAGTTGAAGCTAAGAACTCCAGCCTAAATACACCTGTGATGAGGGCCCACATGTGGACATTGCCAAAAAGGTTTGAAACCACTGAAACACATCATAGACCTGTGTGTTCGTGTGTGTTACTGAAACTTTGCTGTTTGCGGAAAAGGCTGAGACAGCACTGGGTTTGGCTGCTCTCCTTTTTCCACCCAGAAGCCAGCGTGGTTAAAGTCTGACAGTGTAAAACCTCGCCGAAGAATCACAGAATGTAAATAGCAACGACTGCCCTAAACAGAGTTCCTCCAAAAAGCTGATGAACTGAAGTTTGATCTTCTCCCGTTGATCCTCTGTGACGCTGCAGTGATGGATCATTATTTGGAGCGAACCCCCCTCAGTGATCTCTGTGCATCCTCCTGCAGGCTGCAGACCTCCTGCAGAGCGGTGATAATTTGAGGTCTTGTATTAATTAACCTCACTGGCTCTTCCTTTTCATAACCGGACCGTCCTGTGGTCTAAACAGTCGGCTGATTTTCGGCTGTCGCTCATTAATGGGGAGCTGATGTTACTGAGTGCGTGTAGAATGCAGATCTGAAGAATAGCTTCTTTGTCTGTGTTTGTTCTCAATATTCTTGTGCTTTGAGACTCCATATTTGTTTCTCAGCACTCATTTCTGTGGCGCTTCATAAAAGTGTTTTATGTCCATTGCTCCTAGTTTACTCAAACTGAAATCAAAAGGATAAATACTTATCTGGAGGCTTTTATCTCCTGACAGTTGTCCTCTGGGGTGAAGAAAGTCAATAATTAAATTTTTTTGACATGGAAATCTCGATATTGTTAAAAGCAGTTAAATAATAACTTGTAGTAACTTTGTTTGAAAGCTACCTGTATATAAAATAATGTTTAAATGAATTTAAATAAATCATGGAAAGTATTCCCACAGGATTAAATGGTGTTCTTACAGCATTAAGCAATTATGTTGGTCCAACTTAATTTACTTGAGTTGTTCAAGTAAGTTTAGTAAAGTTGATTTAACTTACTTACTAGGTTTGGGTCTGACTTTAATTTAATTGGGTTGATCCAACTCATTTTACAGCTGTAACATTAAACAAAGTTGATCCAACCCAAGTAAATTAAGTTGACACAACAGAATTGCTTAATATTGAGAAAGCCATTAAATACATTTGTTTTAATTGTGTAAATGCAAAGGCTTACCTAAACTTACCTAAAAAAGTGCAACAACAAACATCTGGGCGATGTTGAACACAACGCAAAAGCCAACAAGTCAGAATCATTTTGAAACGCATGTTGATTTCAACACTTGATTGTCCAACAAACACAAAGCAATCATTTAACATAAAAACAGTGTTACACTAATATGTCGGACCTGATCTGTCTGAAATCTGAAAACAGTGTTTTTTCTATCTGTTAAACTGACCAAACATTGCATAATGTAACGACATATTTCAAGCAGAAGTGAGAAAAGTCTCAGTCAAATGTCCTCCTCGTCATTTCAGGCTGCTCGTATAGATTGTATTTACCCTTGTAGATATAGTACAGTAGATAATGGACAATCAGGCTACGCAGATAGTTTGCATGTATAAAATGCAAACTAGGAACCACTGATATACATGTGACGCTGAGCAGCATGGTGGTTAAGGCTCTTTGACGATGCACTAGGAGAGTTGTCATGGGAAGCTGTTAAACCTTGTCCTCAGTCTGCTGCAATCCTCCTCCAGCTCCTGACTGGTTGGTGCTAGCAGCCCAGGGTCATATTTACCTCAGCTATCTGCCATGTGTCACCTGTGTGCAAGGTGATGAAATATGAGCTGTGAGAGGAAGGTTAATGTTCTGCCCACAGGAGACAAAACCAGCCAGAGGCCAGAACATATTTACTCTGCAACTACAGTATACGTGTGTACAGTACTGCTGTACTTTTTGGAGACTTTCTACTTTTCCTCTAGCACATTTCAGACATTTTTTGTACTTTTTAACCCACTGCGTTCGTCTGAGGGTTGGAATTTAATGTGAATTTAATGTAGTGTAACTGAAACTCTTTTTCAAGCGAAACCTGATGACTAGTAATCAGTCAGACAAACCAGAAGCAAAATATTCCATATTTTATATCCAATGTGACACACTGTAGGCAAAATAAAACTGTAAACTGTCACTGTCTCAAAGCTTCAAAATGTAGATATATCAGGAAATCAGAAAAACATCTGTTTTAAGTCAATGATTTTTAGACATATATTTCTCCATCCCCTCTGTTCTTGCAGCTTTTTGTATTTCTTTCCTTTCTAATTCCATTCTTTTCCTTATTCCTTCCTCATTTTCTGTCTTCCTTCTGTATTTTCTTTAATTCCTAATTTTCCTTCCTTTCCTACTTACTTACTAAGGTCCAGTGTGTAACATTTAGGAGGATCTATTGTCAGGGAGTTGAAATATGCATCTTCACCGCTATATGTCACTAAATCCGACACACTGGTCCTTTGAATCAGCGGTTCTCAACTTAAACAAAAAGAATACACATCCCTGCACACTGCATTTACACGATAAGTAAGTAAGGTATACAAAATGAGCTGTTTTCACTCAACAGGCATTTGTGGAAGTTTTTCTGTCAAAATAAAAACAGACAGACATCAGAGAGCTCAGCATTTAAAATTGTTTTGTTTTTTTTACCACACACTCCGACAGCCATTCAGAACAAGTCCGCCCACTTTTGGGTTGAGAAAGCATGCTTGAAATGATCTGAAAGCATAAAAATCCCCCAAACTCCCTAAAAAATGAGGTTTTATTCTAACAGTGAACTCTAATCCTTTTGATACTACAGTACATGTTACAGCGTTCTTTAGTCAGCATCTGGATGCTGTGTTACTGCTTATCGTTCCCTTATTTCACCTCGACCTGCCTTCACTCCTAAAGCGTTGATTTATTTTCACCAGTGAATTTGAGCCTTTTAAACATTTACAGCTATTACTCCGTGTGCTGCCAGAGGACTGTCTCTCTGTCCTCCAGGCTTTCGTCCACGTTTTACACTCCTCCAGTAACATGAGATCATCATCTGTCAGTCAGGAGCTTCTCTGCTGTAAATTACCCAGTTAAACTGTTTGACCAGTCAAACAGAGCGAGGCTGTGAGAATCTGGTTCTAAACATTTATATTTATAAAAATATCTGTTCATTTCTGTATGAAAACACACTGCTGTCTGTCCTGGTGCAGCTTCTTTTCCCAGATGTTTTCTATCATGCATTATTATCTCTGCGACACAAGAATATGTGTTGCCAAAGGTCGTAATGTTTGCTATATGATACTGGAATACAAAAGTGTCAGTAAACCACCAGAATGAATTTCACTCCACATCACTAAGATGACTTTTTTTTGTGTCTCTTCTGAGACGTTATGAAAAGCCGCTGAGGTCTTTGGGGTCCTGCCTTTATCTGTCCTGGACCGGCTCAGCTTGGTCATAAACGAGGCAAACTTCGAGAGAAAGCTGAATCTAAAAATAAATAGAAACTTTGATTTGAGTGTCAGGCCTGGCCTCAAACCAGTGAATAAATGACCCACAACCGGACCAGCAAAAGAGGAAGTGGACCAGCTGTACTGTAAACCACACACCAGGAAACAGGGTCCAACGTTTTCCTGTGATTTTAAAATGATTACCTTGTGCGAAATAAAGAACAATTAAGTTTGATTGAGGTTAGGTTTGGTTTTAAGCACATGGTTTTTACATGGTTCACATCTCCATCTCTTTCCATTCTGTGATCCAGGTGTACACCTACAAGCAGAATGCACTTACCCGCCAGAAGGTGCAGCCCATGCACCACAGCAGCATCCGAGGGGTGGAGGACATGGCGACCCTTGAGGACCTTCACGATGGCGCCATCCTGCACAACCTCTTCCTGCGCTACCAGCAGAGACACATCTATGTGAGTTTACAAGCTGCGCCACACCTGGTGGCTTTGAACACTGAACAGTTTTCAGTGCGGTTGAACTTTAACCTTTTTTAATCAGCTTGGGAATCACTTAGTGACCCAAAAAGAGATTCAAACTTATTTATTTTTAATAAAAATATACAAAAATACACAAAAAACATACAACAACACAACAATCACTGACGTTCATACACAGCAAACGTGAAAAGCTGATGGGGGAAGAAAAGTTAATGAACCTGTTGTTTTTAAAAAAAACCTCATTGGCACTACAGTAGTGATGGGAAACGTTACCTCATTTTGTGATAAATAACCTATTTTAAATGTTTTATTTAAATTTAGTAGACAAACAAACATATACAAAGTATATCATAAAAAGGGAAGAAAATGATAAAACAAAAAAGAACTATAGAAGGCAATAATGAAATAAATAAACAAAATGAGCTTAAAAAAATAACAAGTAAGAATTAAAGTTTTACAAAATGATATAAAAATAAATGAGTATCCTCTACGACTGAACCCACATTTTGTATACTGTATGAACATCAAAACATAGCAAACTTTTTATAAAAGCACCTAAAAATCTTTAGAAATATAAAGTAATATATCAGTATGAAGTTTTTATCAGACTTTTCACATGATTTTTATTTAAATTTAAGCTTCTTAAAAAAGAAACCAGAAGACAATAAAGAACAATTGGGCGAAAAATACAAAAATGAATAGAAAATTGTGTCTTATTTAATGCAGTGGAATGAAACTTTCTGGCATGCCCCGCCTTTAAAAACCCCAAAAAGTTTATGCTCCCCACCAAGGGTTAGGGTTAGCGTCAGGGTAGTCTCCTTTTTACTTTCACTCCATATCTTTCTCCTGGTCATCCACACCACACAGTTTGAGAACCACTGATTTAATGTCAAATTCATGCAGATTAGCAATCAGATCAGATTTAGTGTCATAAATCCTTGACGTAAAGATCAGCACTGAGGAATGAGTTTCATCAATCACACTGACGAGAGAACATCAGATCTGCGAGCCTCTGGCTTCAAAAGCCCAAAACAAACCGACTCCTATCTGCAGTATCGTGTTGACAGCTCGGCCTGTCAGGGAACAGTGCCTTCTTTTAAAAGGTCTATACGCAGGAATCTCCCATGAACTGAAGTTGCTCAATCATTACACAACAGAGATAATCGTCTAGACGCAGCAGATAAGAGGAGGTGATGACTGGGTCAGAAAGCGGAGGGAGGTTGTGTTTCTCTGGGTGGATCGGTGTACAGTGAGGTTCCCCATGGACCTGCTGTCAAAAACAATTTGAGGCTCTCTGCCTCTGATTTATTACAAGCAGCAGACAGCGAAGGTTCACTGGTGTGAAATACACGTGTGGAGTTGATTGAAAGGTTGTTTAACTGTGCTGAGTTTAATGCACAACATACAGGACACACATGTACAGACAGAGCAAGTTATTCACAAGTGGTTTTACAGATTTATATAAACCTGTTGGGTTGGCTGCTTTACCTCAGTGTGAAAGATTACAGCATGAATACAACATAGATTAAACTGAGATTCTTTTGTTGTTTCTACACAGAAAACCTTTTGTAGAATCATTTTCAGATTGCTGATGGTTGGAGATCTCAGCTCCTATTAATAATTGGGGGATTTCTAAATGCAAGAGCGGTTGATTGAATGACGATTGAAGAGTGGCCACTAACCATCGTATAGTCCTTACTTCAAACAATGCTCTCCTCCCATTCTCCTCTGGAGTGAAACACTGGAGATATAGCGAAATCACTTTGGAGAGAACTTAAAAATGGATCTCCAAAGCGATGTTATATGGTATGACTGTTTATAAGCACATGATTTCTGCAAGTTAATGCTATAAAGAGTTTGGATTGGTTCTGGTTTTGAAAATGAAACCAGGGAGTAAGTCCAGAATTTCTAATGGCCGAAGCATTTAGAGACTGACTTGTGATTCTACACTGGCAGTGACGTCCTCTTTCCCAGCGTTAACGCACATCATTGATGACATTCCCTCCTATTGGCTCATTGCTACCAACGACTGTCTGTATGCTGTGTCCAGTATTTGCTACTGTCAGTTTGCCTCTCCAGAACATTCTTCTAAATGATCTCTGATATAAGTTTAAGGAGTTATTATATAAGGTTGCCATTCAGTGGGATTCAGTCTGAGCTTTGGCTGGTCCTCTCAAGGACTCTCACATTCTTGTTATTAGTCCTTTATAGGGATTTATGCTCAGGGTCACTGTCGTGTTGGCAGATAAGTTTTCAGGCTTTGCTTTGGCACTTTGAAATAGCTTTAAGCTTCTCTAATGGTCCTTTTTTCACCGGTTCTAAAACCGATTGTTTCTCTGTCATAAAATAAAAGTCTGTTTCATTCCATTGCATCAGATCTCTATTTTGAGCTCTTGTGGTTACACCGAGAACTATGCCAGTCGTCATTTTAGATGCTGCTATTCTTTGCTGTACGAAGTATTAAATTACTGTCAGCCTGAGCTAAAAGGAGGGTTCAGAATAAAAAACGTTGCTGCCTGCTCTTTAGTGTTACTTTAGCGTTTTTTATTCCAAAACAAGCAAAATTCCAATAACGCTAGTGCTAGTTATTTAATCTTACATCTAATAGTTTTACCTGGATCACTTTGTGAAGGTGTCACGTTTTTCTCCAAAGCTAATTGCTTATTTCTTAAAGAATTGTCTGAAAATGTAGCCAATTAAGTTTTTATGTAGGTGGTTGAATTCACTGTTCCACCATGTTTTTGGGAGGTTTAACGTGTGCAGTTTGTTTCCACGACCGCAGTCGATCAGGCGATGAAAAGCACAGGTGATAAAACCCAAACAAGTAGAGGGAGCCTTTTCCAATCCCGGGTGTGAAACCTGGACGGTGCTGAACGGAGCTCCTTGTTTTGCAGCCAAGAGCAACAGGTTGCCAAGCAAGAGAGAGGACGATTAGAGTTTGGGTTTGTTTGGTTTGACGCTCGTTTTAGAGGCTGGTATTCCAGCGGTGGCCTCAATGGGAGTCTGGCGGGAGATAATGGGTCCTGGCTCGGCTCTCACAGCGCCCACGTCGTCCAAGCTGTGAGACAGAACAGTTAAGAGCTGGTTGGCTTCGGAGCAAGACCGCAGTGAATCTGAAAAAACCCTGAAGCTGTTTCTCTCTGTGATATATGTGATCATTATGATATTTGTTCCCTCTACTGTAGCCTTGACCTCTGACTCTGCAGAACTAGCTTTTGTAACTCAGGTCATGTTTTTGAAAGGGAAACTCTCTGTGGTGGTTGGGGATGAAAACTACAGGAAAAATATCCAGCATGTTAAACATTCCCAGGGCGTCAAATACTGACGTCCCTCGGCGTCTCCATACAGATGCACAAGGTACTCTTTAGCATCTGCTTGACAGTGGGCTGTCATCTAACTCCAATGTAAACCACCCATGTCAGACAATGTAGTGTAGAGAGTGACAAAGACTATGTAAGGAATGGGGTTTGGGTGGAAGGATGTGTCAAACAAACACAGGACTTTAACCCAGGAGACCAGAGTTCATGTCCAGTGTGAAACCACAAGTTTTACATTTAATAATGTGACATACCTGACTTACATTAAGTGACTTGTTGCCACAGTAATGGCAACACTGACTGTTGGTTGTAAGGGGAGACAAGCAGCAGTGTCCCACGTTAAAGTTCCACGTTTTGATGGTCCATCCATCCAAACTCCTCCACTCTCCGGCTCTATAACATCACCTGACGTCCTCCAGACAAGAGTCAAAATTTGCAAAAGGGATTTGATTTATTTTGTTCTGTACATTCAACATCTATTGCACAGCTGTCCGTCCTTGGAGAGGAAACCTTCCTCTATGACTCTTCCTGAGGTCTCTTCCAGTATTTCCATGTTAATGTTTTTTTGGGGGTATTTCCTTACCTGAATCTATGGATATATCTAAGGACAGACGGTGTTGAGTGTTGCAGAGATTCTACTGCCCCTGGGGCAAATTAGTCAATTTAATTGACTCATAAGACCACTGGAAGGCTTCGTCCCTTGATTTAGTTTTTGGGGCATTAGCTCAAAGGGCCGATGCATGAAAGTCTCAAAAAGTGAGGTGCTTGGTGATGCTAAAGGTTACCTGAAAGTGCATTCCCCTTATTCATTTCCTGCAAAGCTTTAGCTGGTCAGGATTAATGACCACTGCAGAGCAGTGGGGTGTTTGTTGGGGGGTATCACAACTAGAAATAAGAAGGTTAGTATTAGCATACTAGCATTAGCAGCCTTAATGTGGTACCAGAAGTGGTAGCATTTGTGATTTTAGCAGTAGATGCTACTTTCATCTTGATAAATCATCCTACTGTTCATACACTCTTATACTATCAGAGGTTGTGCTAACAGAGTTATTTGTTCCACACTGTCCTGCTTTACTTAGCGAGTTAATTAGCAAACAAAGCAGCTCTGTTCCCGCTGACCCAGTCACTGTACAGGAACCTATGGAACTCCACTGTATAGCGTTGAAAACAAAGGACTATGTAGGACAAATGACTCTCAACCATTACTGTCTCGTTTTGTGCTTATGGACTAATGAACAAACCTGACCCAGCACTTTCTCCAGCAAAACAAGCCGGCGACAAAGGCAGCCTTGTGCTTTCTGCGCGCATTAGCCGCAGTAACCTTTGACAAATGCCATCTCGTTACTTTAATCACATCTGAATGCTCCCGTATGGTCGGAATTATCCAATCAATTCATCATGGCCGCCCAATCTCCACTCTGACGGGGCTTTTTTTTTGGTCTTCCTGGGCCAGAAGCTGCAAAGAGAGAAAATTAGAGAGGTTTTGGTGAAGTGGGTCGTGGTAAACCGAAGGGGAGGGCCATAAGCACACTGAGAGAGCCAGCAACGGTCTCTGATACATCAAATGTTAAACAGGTTAGAATTATACAAGTACAAAAATAAATGAATAAATATGAGTAGATTTCATTTTGAAGTTGTTTCAGCTTTTGAGGACCCAGT